CACACAATCTCTGCATGGGTAGCCTTTTTTTTCACAGCCTATAAAGTAAGCGACGCACATGCGCGATGTACAAGGCGGATTCCGTCGCGCGCCGGCAGCTTTTGAAACCCCTGAGGTGTTAGTATTTGTGAAAAAGAATTGTTTTGATTATGGAACATTTTTTTCCAAAATTAATTACTAAAAGGCACATTTTTGCATTAATAGATTTTTCCACTCTAAAGGTACAGTAATCAATTTTAGATGTAATGACACCAAATTCTTATTCTCTCTTGGGAATATCATGTTTCTTAAAAATTTGAATTCATAATTCGAAAAAAAGTTTTTGTTTGAGGGTTATTGCTTCACACCGTTTACATCATAAAACGATACCATTTTACCAGTGACATAGAAATGGATAATTAAAAAATCATTATTAAATCTGGGGGGGTCGGGAAATGGGCGGTCGAAAACTAACATAGGCCGGGGGAAAAAACTGGACTTGGGGTAAGTCGCTAATATTACCGTTAGTTTTCGACTGTCGCGAAAACTAGTGTAAAATCTGCAAAAGAATGTTTACATTTTACAGACTGGATGCAATTTAATTTTATGAATTTGTAGTTGGAAGGTATGAGTTATATATTTATGCATCTGTTAAAATTAGATTCCTGTAAGTCATTGTCCAATAGTCCAATAGGTTTGCTGTACACTATCAGCGATCTCTACTACAGATAGTGTGCTTTGAATACACCGACATTCAACACGGCAATCATGTATGCAGCCGTGAGAAAACTCCGCCCAATGCGTAACTTGTCGGCATATCGATAGGCGCATGATTTATTCATCTCTGAATACGCCACCCTCATATCGTAATTTCATGAACCCCCAATTATGAATGGAATTTATTTATCAAATCTACTAACGTTAATCTACCATTTCATTATTTCCCCCATAAAATAAGACACCGACACCCACATTGTCTTTTTATAACTTTATTATTCATTTAGTAAATGCAGGTGTAGAACAATCGTATTGCATACAAAAAAAAGTCCAAGCGCCGTGTCTACAGCCAATCAACGCTCTTCTTTTAAAAAGTTGACAACATGGTTTCCGGGTTATTCTGTACAGGGTATTTACATGACGCCACACCACATGGATCGAGTGAAAAACGTTGGTTACTCGCTCTGTTGCGGCGCCCGCTGGGCTGTGTTTCTTCGTAAGTTAGAAGACTAACATATATAATCATATATTATTGCACACATGAACACATGCAAAATTTGAAAGTCATACTCCATGTCGTTTTTGAGATATGGCCGTTTGAAATTTGCTGGACTTAGTCATTTTATGCACTCGCAAATCGCGAAAAGTGACATTTTGAATAATTTTGGATTTCAGAATGCCATATTTCGGCCTACGGACAAGACAAAGAACTCAAAGTTGGTATTCTGACTTACTTTTGCCAAATTTTATGAATCTGCACTCAGATTTATATATATATCATCTTTAGATTTCAAGTTATGATTGCCTAAAGTAGGGTCCAGAATGAGCGATACTTCAATTTTTGGGGTAACCCTGAATGAAAACTAGGGGTAACATGGGCTCCATTCTACTTGAATATAATCTATGGTCACAGGACTACATCCAGAAGTAATAACAATCCCATTAAAGCTTTAAATCAGAAAATAGAGTCCCAAAATGGGCCCCAGCCAGAAAAATCCTTTAAATGGCTCGACTTTCGTGACCCCAGATGACCCCGCGATCAGTTGAAATAATTTTTAAAACTCTAACCTGTCGAAGATAGGTATCATAGTAATATGTACACAAAATTTCAGCTTTGCTACTCAACTCCTTTAAGGTAATGTGACAGGGTTTAAATGTGGCATTTCTGCATTCATAATATGGCAATATAAAGTGATGAATGCAATAATTAAACAATTTGACATTAATATTTCATACAAGTTTGCATACACCAATGGTAACTATTTTTTATTTTAAACATGGGTCATGAAAGTAAATTATATTGAAACAGTTTGTAATGCTGTTGATTGTTTACGGAGCCATCACTTCATCACCAAATCACAGTCTTCATACCTGCAATCATTAAAGCAATCCTTACAACCAGACACAGCTATCATCTTATTAGATTTTGCTGAAAACTACAGTTTCCTCGTTCAAGATGCTATACAGGGCTATTACTGGGATAATAGTCAAGCCACAGTGCATCCATTTGCAGTATATCATAATGTGGAAGGAGAACTGAAGTGCATAAGCATTGTTATGATTTCAGATTGTATGAAGCATGATACTACAGCCGTCCATGCTTTCATCTCTCACTTGATTCCTTACATCAAGGATCAGATTCCAGGCTTGCGGAAATGCATATATTACAGTATGGGGCTGCAAGCCAATATAAAAATCACAAAAATATGTCAAATCTCTGTCACCATTCATCTGATCATGGAAAGAGCCCGTGTGATGGCTTAGGGGGTACCACAAAAAGGCTGGTTGCCAGAGCAAGCCTCCAAGCTACTGTTGAGAACCAAATTCTCAGTCCACTGCAGATGTTTGAGTGGGCTGATGGGAACATCACCGGAATTAAATTTCTATATGTTAGTAGTGATGACATTTAAGCCAATGCAGAGAAGTATAACCTTAGTGACAGGTTTGCATCCTCCAAAACAATTGCAGGAACCAGGTCACACCACAGCTTCATACCAACTGATGATGGAATTATTCAAATGCGACGATTATCCAGTGATCAGCATTGTGATGTTGTTACCATCAACAGTGTCCATGCAGGTGTAAGCAATCAAATAGTGGCCAATGAATGTCAACCTGGATGTTATATTGCTTGCATTTATGACAGTGAGTGGTACATTGGTATGGTCACCGAGCGGTCAGATGAGGAGAATGATGTGTATGTCAAGTTCATGAAGCGAGCAAGAACATCCAACACTCTATCTTGGCAACAAAACACATACAATGAATGCTGGATACCATTGCAAGACATAATATGCATTGTTTTGGCTCCACAGCTATTGGGTCATGGTGGTCGACACTACAAACTTACAAATGAAGATTTTGAGATGATTAAAACTAAACTTCCAGAATTTATTAAGTAAAGGAACTGGGACTCAAAATTAAGAGTATCATCAGCAAAGAATCAATGGTTTAAAAACTTTCTTGTAGTAA